CCGCGGTTCACCTGGTGCTGCCAGCCGGCGGACGTTGCTTGGATTCGGCCGTTGAAGGCGGCGCTGCGAGCGAACTGGCTCGTTGAGATTCGCCGCCAAGTGAGGAACAGCAAGGCCTTGAAGGAGAACTTGAAGCTGCGCGGCCCATCGAGACCTACAATGGTGTCATGGATCACTGGGGTGTGGAAAGACCTTCCTGGAGCTGTGATCCTCAACAGGTTTCGTAAGTGCCAGCTCATCCAGGGCGCTATTGAGGAGTGTGTTGAGGTTGATGACGCATTGGAGGACAGTGAGCTCACAGACTTGGCGGAGAATATGGCCATTGAGGACACCATTCATCCAGCGGGAGAGATTGGCTTGATGAACGCCGACAACACTGCTCCAATTTATTCCTTGTAGATAAATATTATCTTAATATTTGTATGCATTCAACCCAGATATTTCCTCGCGTCTTCGTCATCCTCCAGAACTTTATTCATCTTGGTATTGAATGTTTTCTAGCAGAATCCAAGAAATTGGAATTACTTGAATTTTGTATGTCCGAACCTATTTACATCATCCGAATCACAGTGCGTACGGATAATTGTCCGGTGACTGTCCGAACCTATATACGGTACACGGTAACGTTAGTATGAGATATCTATGATAGACATTCGCGTTTGGTTCAGGTAGTAATTGAATTAATGTTACAGTAGTGTTGCACTGAGAAAATCCCGTTAACAGATACTACCCCGGAGTAATTCACACCTTTGAGTTACGGAATTTAAGGCTCATCGAAGTACTGTGTGTAGCACAAATTTCACGATATGATTGGATAGCGTAGTTCAAAATTCGAAACATATTATAAAAATTCACCAATAGAATTTAAGTATTTCGTGATTTGCTTCTGATTGGCTGAAAAAAGTGTATGACACTCAAAACTTCGTTGAGCCTCAAAGGTTTATTTTGACCATTCAGTATTTGACCGAATATATGATCTTGATTAAAGTATGCTGTATTATATTGACCTCTATTTTCATCTTGATTTAACTATGCAAGATTATCTTGACCTTGATTTTTATCTTGTTTAAACTATGTGACATTATTGAGGCTTCGGATTGGATACGCTTACGCTTTGGGCGCAGTCTCCTCGAACAGTGGTTGCTGGTAATACCGGCCAGGGCAACTCTCCAAAATTTAAATAAATAACCAAAAGTAGGGATGTATGATTCTGTGTTTTGATTGGATAACTTCATGGGAATATTCGATAACCAATCACAAAGTCGCTTGCCTCTAATTGGCTCGATTCAAATCTACAAATGACGCTTTTCAAATCTGTCAGCAAGTCCAGCACGCATTTCGAAATGAGCGCAACC